TATCCCTTTTGCCGATAAGGCAACCGAAAAGGATAGTGATCTCCATTTATACGTCACTTTCACTGATGAACCTAATGAAGATTTTCTTGCTTACGCTGGATGGTGCAGACTCCTTAAAATTGTAGGTCCCACTCACGGTTTAGTAAACTTCAACTTGGGTTAATTAAAAACCTAAAATTTTGCCAATTCTCACTTATTCTAAAGTTTCGTTGGGACTGTTATCCATGAAATCACTCATGTCCTCGGATTTTCTGATTTAGACATTCCTAACTGGGTTGATTCTAAGAAGAAGCCTCATGTTAATCCTACTGTTCAGTAAACTGTTAGAGGTATTAATACTACTTTCCTAAAAACACCAAATGTTCTTTAATATGCAAAAAAATACTATGGATGCAGCACTATTCCTGGTATGGCTCTTGAAAACTAAGGCGGTGAAGGTTCAGCTGGTTCTCACTGGGAAACTACTATTATTCAAGATGAAATAATGAATGCTTCAGATTCCCAAACCATTTCTATTTTCACTGGTTTTACTGCCGCTTTGCTAAGAGATACTGGTTTCTATGCTTCTGTTAACTCAAATATGGAGGAAAAATCTTACTATGGTAAAGATGCTGGTTGTTCATTCATTACCGGTTCTTGTGATGACAAAAAAAGAGAGTTCTGTACTGTCGGATCTTTCGAAGAAAAATGTGACTATTATTATCATGGTGTTGGATAATGTAACTCCTCTTAAGAATTAGACGATGGTTGCAACACGATTTAAACTTTCTAGAATTCTAAATGTTATGATGATTCAAACAACTTTTAGAATACTCCAACTTAAAAAACTGCTATGGGAATTTCATTTGGATCTAACTCTAAGTGCTTTAACAGCTCACTCATTAGTGAAAAATTAAAACCTATCAAGGAATAAGGTTTATGTTATACCTATTCTTGTAATTTTTTAAATAATGTAATTGTTAGCGTTGGAGGAACTAAAGTTACTTGCTCTAAGAATGGCCAATAATTGAAGGTTCCTGGCTACAGTGGTCTACTTACTTGCCCTGAAAAGCTTGATTAATTCTGTGCTTACAAGAAGTTCTGTCCTAGCAATTGTAGTTCAAATGGTTTTTGCAACAATGGAACTTGTATTTGCATGAATGGTTTCAGAGGAGCTGCTTGCGACAAAGTTGCTTGAAACTATAAATTATATTAAAAATATTATAATATTAGATTTACATTAATATTGCATTACATAATTATATATATGGTTAATCGTAAATATTAATTAATGGATTTATTTAATCAAAAATAAAATAAGATTTTAAGCATATATCTCAATATATTAAATTAATTTAACGAATTATG